AGCGGTCTGCTCGGGCCGGCCATGGATGGCATTTATAATCCGAACGGGGTGAGCGTTATGGTGGCTCGATTTTTGGTGTCTCTTGACTTACTCAGCTGGACGATTTTGCTCTTGTACCGGACCTTGAACATACCCTGCAAACTCTCCCTTGGCGATCAACATTTCCACTTGCTTCCTCAGGTTCCTGCATTCATTAGTCTGATGATTAAAGTCACTATGAAAAGCACAATGTTTACATCGATCCCTCTGTTCGAGAGGTTGTTGGATTGGCAAGGGAGGACGAAACTTATCTTTGTTTTCTTGGTAGAGCCTCGCCAACGTAACTTTGAGCGGAGTAATCAGGTCATCCTCCCTGGGCCTCTTCTTTGCTTTCCAGGAGGTCTAACGCTGCGGCGGAGCTTGCTTCTGCCGTATCTTGGCTTTAGATTTCTCCTCTGTGGAGATGATAGACGTCTTCCTAGCATTAGTTGTTTCCTCCTCTTCTAGACGCACGAAACCATTAGCTCTTTCGTTCAGCTCATCCATCGTCTTCGGTGTGTTCACCATGAGACTTATATAAAATGGAGTCCCTGGAGTCAGTGCTAGCTTGAATGCTTGAACTGCTGTTGATGGATGACACTCCATAACCATACTCTTAACAAGGTTAAACCTGGTGAGAAAGGCCTAGAATCGTTCATCCTCATGCTGTTTCATTGTAAACAAACTCGATACATCTTTTACCGGGCGTTTATTTCCATAATACTAACTTATGAACTTATCACACAAGTCATAAAAGCTGGCAATTGATCCTTAAGCCAGGTTCTTGAACCAATTGAGGGCTGGACCAGCCAAGCTTATAGGGAAGCATTTGCACATCAATGGATCGTTATTCGTATTCAAAGCAATTTTCAATTAAATATGGTAAATATAATTGATCGGATCGGTTGTTCCATTGAACAGAATGAACATAGGTATAGAAAATTTCCTTGGATTTGGAGCGTTCAAGATCTCGTTCGTGAATGGAGAGGCAACCGTTAGAGCAGACGAACGAAACGCCTCATTCTCCTTTAAAAACTGTGATGGAATCTTCGGATCAGCGGATCTACCATCGAAACTCCTACAATCATAAGTCGTCATTGAGGGGCGGTAAGGCGAATCGAGCGATCTCTCCTCCATGAATCCTCTTTGCCATGGTGACAAGGTTCTATGTTGACCGACCTCCATTGCTTCATCACGCCGCAATCTTCCCTGACTTTGATCAAACGCTGCGGCTTCTTCTCGCATGATTCACTCGCGATGCGGATCCTGGTGGATAGATCCTTCCCTATCCTCTATCTGCCGGAGGTTAGGAGGTGGATCACCCTATATTATTTCGTCGCGATGAAGATCCACGCGATGCTCCCCTCCCAGATCGTCATGATTAGCAGCATTGGACGGTACAACTGCTTCGATTATCGGAGATGGCCTTGGAACTGCAGGAGCCTCACGACACTCCATTCTAGCTCGCAGTTCGGTATTCTTTTTTCTTAATGTATCAATCACATTCATCAACTCATCGAGCTTCGATTGTTGGCCATTCTCCAATAGATTTGAGCTCTCTCCTCCGATCATCATGCCGAATCGAAGCAAAGTCATTCACTACAAATTATTGATTAGATCTAAGCTTCACTAATGCGAGCGCACTAGATCTAGACTCAAGCTTAGCTGAATTTTGACTGCAATTGTCCGAATCTGGATTGCTCCACCGGCAAATTCAACAAACTCAGTGATCTCTACCAATCTCTCAACTACACAACTCACCGGAACAAGTACAAACCAGAGCTGTGTAGATCGAACTATCAGTCTTTCCAAATCAAATGGAATTGAGACTCGACAAAACAAATTGCGATTTCACCAATCACGATTCTGCCTTCTGCGATCAAGCTTCTTCCTAACGAACTGCTCAAGATCGAATCAAGCTAAATCAAACACTCATCAATCTTCTTTGTTCCCACAGACGGCGCCATTGAAGATGCAAGAAATTTTCTCTCTCTAATTGATAGAGTTTCATTACACTTTAAACATTTTGATCCCTTATTCCTTCTTTTTTGCTTCTATTTATAGACAATTTGTATTATTCTAGAGAATTCTTAACTAACTTCCACCGCTGGGCCTATCCTAGAGGTTATACAATTATGGGCCTGATTCCTCTTTGGGGGCCCTCAACAACAACCTCTTACACCAGGTCTGCTTTGTAGACGCTAAGTTTAGGCCCAGGTCAATTACCAGGCCCCGACTTTATTATGCGGGTTAAGTCCGGCTCGAGCCGTCTTTGGCATCCTCAAGGTTGATTAAGTACTCGTTAGTATTTTTGAATTTATTAAGAGATTTTACTTGGGTATATTTGTGTTGTTTTATGCTTTGGGTAGTGGCTGTTTTGAGGGATTTCATTGATGGGAATTAAGTCTATATTATTTTCTGGTTGATGGATCTATTTTAATGGAGACAAGATAATATTTTCTTTCATTTTTACTACATCTATGGTTTGTTCAGTTTGTGACGAATTACAATCATAGGCTTTGAGTGAGAACAAACAGCTTTAGCTTTTTCCTCCACTGCAGAAAACAAGCTGTAGTGAGCATGAGGTCCACTTAGAAATGGGAGAGATGTTGATGTCAATTGACGAGTGATGGTCAATTTCAATCACCTTATGATATGAGCTGTGAGTGTAATTCAACAGCTAAAAGTGAAAGGTAAAATCTTCACTAAAATCCTAGCAAAACAATCCATATAAAGTTCTTGACGGTGCTTGGTGGTGGTGGTGGTCGTGGTGGTAGAGGAGGAAGAGGAGGCGGCAGTAAAAGTAATGGTTCTTGGTGGTGGTGGTTGTGATGGTGACAGTGGTGCTTGGCGGCTGTGGTGATGGGTTTCAATTTCAGCAACTTTCGCTTAAGGTTAGCCTTAAATTTACCTTTTCTTTTGAGTTTGTTTAGTCTTGTATAGGTGCGTATAAATTATATACACGGCAAAGTAAGAAAAATGCCCTTAATATTTATATTTTGGACAAATATATGCCTATCCTTTATATTGTATATATAAGTCATTAGTTTGAAAACATGAACAAAGAAGGGTTAAGATCACTATTTCAAATATTTAGTCACATGATATTTTTAAAATATAAAATTTTGAAAACACCATTCTCTCTTCCGGCAATGTCCTTATTTACATATATATATATACACACACACACACGCACATTGAGGCTTAAGAATAACATCAATAAGAGTGCGTTTGGATGGGATGATTTGGAGGGATATAGAAAGAAAAGAAAAGATAGAGCTTAAGTGTGTTTGGGTGGTTTAAAAGTAAAGAAAAGAAAGGATATGGAGGTATCGCTATCCCACCTTATCCCTCATTTCCTATCTCTCAAAAAATGAGAAAATAGGGAGAGAAAAGATAAAGTTTAGTAGTATATTCATAATTCTAAAACTGCCCTCAATAATTAAAAAGAGAAAATTAGTATTCCACTCATACCCTTCTATTTAAAAGTATGTGATAGTAATTTGATTGTTATCATTTCTCTTCTTTTCTCCCCTTTATCATATCCAAACAAGAATACTATCATTTATTTTCTTTTCTCTTCTATCTATCATCCAAACATAATTAGAGATTATTGCTATCTTTTCTTTCTTTTCTCTCCTATGTATCCAAACAAAGCCTAAATGATTGATTTCCTACATGGGTTTGAATGCCATCCAAAGTTCTCATAGAGAAGGTCACTAATTTCATCAAATAAAGGTTAAACCTTATTTGGAACTTCAAACAAACACTTATAATAACCACTAAAAGAAAGAAACCTAATTCCTCTAAAACTAATTCTTATATTGGTTCATACCAAGAACCCACAACTCCAAATACGATTAAAATTGCCCATAAAGAGAATAAAACCCACAACTTTACCTGAGAAATCGAAGTGGTATTTGGGCTACGTTGGCGAACCTTAAGCCATCGCCAAGAACTTTATAGTGAGGGTTTTAGGGAAATGGGTATCTGGGTTCCAAACCATTCGACACTCTATCACCATTGTAGAGCAACCAAATGCGTCCTTGTGATGTAAACGGTGTCATTAAAGATGAAAGAGAAAGGGAATTGTATGAGTTATGTTTGGAAGATTCACCAAAACCCTCTATGAAATTCTCACTTCTAAGAGACCTCAATCCGGTGAGCTTCAGAGTAGCACAAAACTTCAGCGAACAGTCTGGCATGCTCCAAGGGCATAAACCTCCATTTTTTCCTGCAACAAGCCCCAATAGACAAAACTACATGCTTCTCAGTCCGGTGAAACTTCAAGCTATAACCGAGTGCAGTCCAACAATGCTATAAGCAACGACGACCCACCTCGACGAAGCTCCAGATCAGTCTGGTGGTGGCCATGGTGGGAGGTGGGTGCCGGAGACAAACAAAAAAGATGAAGAGAGGGGTACTTTAGTAATTTACATTTAATTACTTTTTATTATGTTGCATAGGGGTAGTTTAGTCTTTTCAGTATCCAGGTCATTGTTTGCACCAAAAATAAAGATTAAAGACTTATAATACTCTACTTGCATCTACAAGAATTTTAGTTATTAGGGACAAAAAAAAATTGTCCCTAAAAGGACTAAAAATCGACCCTATTACCTTTTAGGGATGGTTAATGTCACTCCCAAAAGGGCTTTAGGGACAGTATAATTGAGACAGAATAAAAAAGTTTTGGGACGGATGTTTTTCTGCCCATATTTGGGACGTTTGTTTTTATGTCCCAATTTAGTGTTTGGAACGGATGTTTTTGTCCCAATTAAGTATTTGGGATGATTATTTTTATGTCCCAATTAAGTATTTGGGACGAAATTCTTTGTCCCTATTTTTATTTTTTTATTATTACTTTTATTATTATTTTAATGGTGGTATGCCTAGCTACTATTTCAGTAGTCCAATTTTTTTTTTTCCTGCCTGTAATATCTTATATCCATTGCTCACTCGTGAACGTAAATGTAAAGTCAAAATTAATACAAAAAAATAAATTTAATAACCATTAATTAAAAAACAAAGTGATATCAATTATGGTCAAATCAACACCTAATAGCATTATATGTAAAAATCAATAACATAGTTGGAATCATTCGTCATTTGTTGGTGAGTCGGGGTTAAGTGATGTGTACAGACCATATAGGCCAAACTTCGGTGGCTGCGGATTATTTAATAGGCTGCCAAAAGATCCATAAGGAGGTTGCTGCTGCTGTGGGCTGCCAAGTGCAGGACGATATCCGCCGAATGGTGTGAACATGAATTGAGGAGAAGACACCCTTTGATTCTCCAAGATACCTTTCACTGTTGCCTTCAAATCATTTATGGATTCCAACATTTCATCACATTTTTGTTCAGCTCTATTAGACTTCCTCCTTTCAGCTTCAACTCTGCCTCCCACTCTGCATTTGCCTTCCTCTTAGGTCTTGAGGATGCTGAAGGAGCCTTCTTTCCATAACCCAAGCCACGGAAATATGTACCCTTTCCTGTTCCAAGACAGTTCTCCAAAATCTGCTCATCCACCAGGACTGAAACTACTAGCATCCACATAAACAGATGGATCTAATGATTGGGCCACCATTTTTTCCTGCATTTTGCAAAATGAAGAACAATTATCAATGAAGCACATAAACAGATGGATCAATGAAGTAAATTAATTGAAGAACAATTATCAGCCATCTCCATAAACATCATACTACAATTAACAAAGCACTTTACTTTAAATTTTCATCACTCATCCACCAACACATCATACTTTTACTAAAATCGAGATGCTAGAACTATTTATAAGTATATGTAATACTACAGTAAGTACTCTGAAAGATGCATCAAAAATATTTTGTACAAGTTCATATGCCAATTAAACAAAAGCTGGTATGGGACATAAACATCAAACTGAAAATGCATATGGTCATATCAAACACGAGTATTCAATCAAAAAACTAGAACATCAAAACTTGAACTTAATCTCATATTCAGCACATGAAAAATGAAAACTCAAATCTATCATGGAAAAAAATTAGTCCAGCAAACAAAATGACATTGATAACTTCACTAAGAATCATTCTACTTACACACTATAAACTTGAAACTTAGAGAGATATCCAAGAAACAGAATCCCAAACAAAGTTGTGAACCACTTTGTTGTGAATAATCTCTTTGAACACTTCCTCCACCCGTAAGTATTATCAAAACCAATGTCAACTACTCTTTTGAAATTTCTATAAATGCACAATTTAATTGTTCTCTATCTTTGTTTTGTTACTAAATTTTCCCGCAACTGGTTTTTAGTTATCCCAAGGATTCGGACAAACTCTTGCTCGCGAAACAAACAAGACTTACTGGAAGTCAGGTAGGCAATATATATCTATAATATTTTTTATTAAACAAGCAAAAGTGAAGCCAACAGATGCAGCATTAAACTCCAATGCTTAATACAAGATTGATTCTATGATCAAGTAATGTAAAGCCTTTGTTCTGGAACGATTCCTTGTTGCATTGTCAATGGAATTTTAGATGCAGTGATCAGCAGACATTCCAAGATGACATAACTTTTGGAATTAAGCCAACAGAAAAATAGTTCTTTGTAAGGATATATATATATTTTATCTCCCTTTAATTTTTTGATATGATGGTAAGCAAAAGGAATAGGAGTCTGATGCACCATATTCAAGGTTGGTGCACTTGCATTAACATTCAATCAAGACAATGCCAAAAACAAGAATACTAATACTAATAATGTTTCGTCAATTTCCATTTCTACAGCCTCAACACAGATAGAAAACCAAGCCATACGTTGAAATGAAACACAAAACCAAACACAAATAGATAAATTGCAGAGAGAAGAGTGGTTTTAGTGTGAAAATTAAAAGAGAAAGAGGTTTCAATGGAGTCAATGGACTATCTGCCACCAGGTTTTAGGTTTTACCCAACCGAAGAAGAACTGGTTTCCTTCGATCTGCATACCAAGTTAGAAGGGACCAGACCAGACCTGGACCTTATTTTATATATATTATAAAGATACTGCTATGTTAAAATTACTCTCCATACATTCATGTATGCTTATAAAGCTAAAGAATATGAAATAGTGAGATTAAATTTTCTTTCTATTAATTCATATTATTGAATATTGAACCGTAAGATTGGGGAAAAACAGATGCAAAAATTTTCTCTGCAGAAAGGAATAACCTCTTTACTCACCAAGAATACAATCACCACATTTTTTGTTTGCATTTTCCCTTTCATCTAACACAATTCACTCTAGTCTTTAGTCTTTACATTTCAACTTTGTGTATGTGTTTGTAGTAAGATCAGCCAAGTTTATAGCGCGTGAACACTGGATTTTTGCTGGATCTATACAACTACGATACCAATGAAAAAGTTAAACAATTTGAGGCGTACTTCCAACCCTTCCATATGTGCTTTCTGCATCTGATGAACAAGCTCGTAAAGCTTTGGGATTGGGAGAGGATTGGGCTCGTAAAACTGTTAATTCTTTAATGGTTTTAAATTAGAAATAAAATAATTCGATCAGTCAATGCCAAACCATATGCAGGCATATATGTATGTATGTATATGAGGTGTTTTCTCAGGAAACAAACAATAAATTGGAAAATTGAATGGGAAAGTGGAAAGGACGTGGCAGGTGGAGGCCATTGAAGAAATTATGCACATAATAACAGTAAGAATGATTGCGAAAACTTACGGATAGTTGTCGATTTCAATCACCGATCACCGATCGAGAGAGAGAGAGAGAGAGTGAGCTCCGATTGACATGAGAGAAATTAGAAGCAGCGAAAAAGCAGACCTTCCAAATTCAATCAATCCTCCTCACTATGCTTCTACAAATGAATTCCTTCTTAGCCTTTGTTTTTCGTATGTATGTCGCTCCAAGCCGAGAAGAGTGTGGCAAGCCGACCTGGCCGGCGTGAAATAGTTGCAACTGGTGCGGCGTCGGCTGTACAGAGAGAGTAGATAGACGATATATGACATTAGGTTAAGTTGTAGAGTGAGAGAGATGATAATGAGAAGAGAGAGAAAGTGGGTTAACAACTTCGTTGTCCCAAAAACCAGACTCTGAGACAATTTTTAAACCGTTCCAAATACTCTGTCCCATACATAATTTGGCCAATTGTAAGGCCAATGTAGTGAGAAAAATGATCATTTTCAATTCACGGACATTTTTTTTTTTTTTTTTTTTTTAACAATATAATAATAAGGGTAGGTTAATGACATCACTCCAAAAAATAACTACATTTGACACAAGGAAGTCTTTGCAAAAAAATAACTAATATCAAATTTATTTATATTTAGGCCAAATGTCGAAGTAGGTCATTGTAATTTATTCCATTTTTTTCTTATTGAATATTGGATAAAGAGTTCGCAATACTCCATTATCGAAAACTATTTACTGCAATCAAAGAAAATATATATAATTTTGTACCGTTTAATTAATTACTTAAAAAGAAAAATCCGAAGTCTTTTGTTACTTTTTATTAGGTATGACAAAGTTTGATACTACCCGTAAAACGACTTGAAGACGACACGAGTTAAACGAATTTGGGTTATTTTAAATGGATTCAGGTTATAAACGGTTCGACACGATTAACCCGTTTAGTTAATCGTGTCGTGTTTGGGTTGAGGGATTCAACCTGTTTAATTATAAGTAACATAAATAAATTCTTATTTAAGTTCCAAAATAACTATCTAAACTTGTATCTTATCATTTATTCTTTTGTAGATTAGTGATTATTTAATAATTTGGTTAAATTGAAACTTATATTTTTTTAATATTTAATAATTGTTTAAGTATTATTAATAATTTAAATAATATTATTTGATTTTATTAAACGGGTTACATGTTTAACCAGGGCGGGAGCCAAGATTTTATTTCAAAAGGGATACAATGGACTTGTTGAAAAAAAAAAAAAAAAAAAAAAAAATCAATAAATATGGCAAATATAATTTTTTTAAATTAAAAGGCAAATAAAAAAAAAATAGTTATAAAATAATATGCTAAATAAATACTATGAAAAAAAATATAATTACAAATATAAGAATCAAAATATTGATTAATTATATTTTAATTAAATACAATCACAAATATCATCGACAAAAAGAAATAAGTAAAAAAAACAGAAACATACATAATTATACATAAATGAAAAAAGAAATTTTTTGAAAAGGAAAAAAAAAATTAGAAAAGAAAAAATATATGGTATACTTGAAGGAGGGGAATATATGTAACTTCTTTTTTTTTTTCAAAAGGAAATTAAAAGAATTTGAAAATTTCAGGGGAACACTATTAAAAATTATTATATAAATATATGTATATAGAGAAATTTGTACCTATGTATAATAAGCTAGAGCAAGGGCTGGGGGCATGTGCCTCCTCTGTGCCTTAATTGGCTTCGTCCCTGTGTTTAACAAATAGGTTGTGTTAGTGTTGATGGTTCTTGACACGATTATTCAACGAATTATGTTCGAATTAAATTGTTTAGTAATTTATTTTTAAATATATTTTGCTCAATTTTCTATAAAACCAACGTGTCTCCCCGGTCCCACGAACTGGACTTCTTAAGTCGTACGGCTAAAAGTGAAAGGTAGAATCTTGTACTATAACACTTACCAAAACAATCCACCGGGCGATGCAAGGATCGGCGGTGATAGTGCGGCACTTCAATCCTTCCTCAACAATCTAGACCCTAATCCGCTACACTCTCTCTCTCCAGTTTTTGCTGGATTCTGCATCATTGTTCCAAATCAATGGCCGGAAAAGGAGGAGGTCGGGCGATTGGAATCGATTTGGGGACGACGTACTCATGCGTCGGAGTGTTTTGCTCATTCGGCCCATTCTGCGAACGCGTCGAAATAATTGTCAACAATCAGGGTAATAACACGATACCGTCTTACGTCGCCTTCAACGACACCGAGCGCCTCATCGGCGACGCCGCCAAGTACCAAGTCCTCGGAACCCTATCAACACCGTCTTCGGTACAGATACATATATATTCTGTGTTAACTATTGAGTACTGTTTAAATATATGTGAATTCTGTAGTCGAGGGTTCGACTTTGATACTGAGTAAATTTTAATTTAACGGTATTAACACTAAATATTTGTTTTCATTTATGTAAATAATTAATTTCTGATTTGTATAGCTTCTGTAATTTTGATTTTACCTTTCAACTAATGGGTATATAATAAATTATTATTATTATTATATTTGGGCTATATATATAAAAATTTATATTGGCTTTTGCATAAATTTAGTGAAGTTTGGTTACAAATTGGATTGAATGGCTTATTTTGAATAGAAATATTTGTAAAGAATCATGTTGTCTTAGCATTAATACTCCAATAGCTAAACATATGCACGCTTACAAGCAGGACTTATCAATCTCCAATCTTTGAAAAGAGAGATCATACATCTAGTCTGTTCTAAATGTGTTTTTTTTTTTCCTTTGTTATTCATTCTTGCATTAGTCATTTTAGCACGGAAAGGAAAAATTGCTATAACAATGTAAAAAACTAATTTCATAGAATATTGATGATGGGAGACGGATAATATTTGGACTTTTTATTGCTCTAATCTGTTTTATGGTTCATAAAGTATTGTGTTTTTCTGAATTCCAGATGCGAAACGATTGATTGGTAGGAAGTTCAGTGATGCATCAGTTCAGGGTGATATGGAGCACTGGCCATTCAAAGTCATTGCTGGTCTCAGTGATAAGCCAATGATTGTGGTAAACTACATGGGCGAGGAGAAACAGTTCGTTGCTGAAGAGATCTCATCCATGGTTCTCACTAGGATGCGTGATATTGCTGAGGCCTATCTCGGCTCCACAGTTAAGAATGCAGTCATCACTGTCCCTGCTTATTTCAATGACTCTCAGCGTCAGGCCACTTAGGATGCCGGAGTCATTGCCGGCCTCAATGTCATTCGTATCATCAATGAGCCCACTGCTGCTGCCATTGCTTACGGTTTTGACAGAAGAGCTGCAAGTGTGGGCAAGAAGAATGTGCTTATCTTTGACCTTGGCGGTGGCACTTTTGATGTTTCTCTTGTCACCATTAAGGTGACGGGTGTCATTGAAGTGAAGGCTACTTCTGGTGACACTCACCTTGGAGGAGCAGACTTTGATAACCGCATGGTGAACCATTTGGTTCAGGAATTCAAGAGAAAGCACAATAAAGACATCAGTGGAAGCCCTAGAGCTATTATGAGGTTGAGAGCTGCTTGTGAGAGGGCAAAGAGGACTCTTTCATCAGCTATCTGGACAACCATTGAGATTGATTCATTGCATGAGGGAACTGATTTCTACCCAAGCATTACTCGTGCCAAATTTGAGGACCTAAACATGGATTTCTTTAGGGAGTGTGTGGAGACTGTTGAAAAGTGTTTGAGGGATGCCAAGATGGACAAGAGCAGTGTCCACGACGTAGTCTTGTCGGTGGCTCTACTAGAATTCCAAAGGTTCAGCATCTATTGCAGGACTTCTTCAATGGGAAGGAGCTGTGTAAGAGCATTCACCCAGATGAGGCTGTTGCTTATGGTGCCGCCGTGCAAGCTGCAATCTTGAGTGGTGAGTACCAGGAGCTGTCGCTGTTGGATGTAACCCCTCTGTCCCTAGGCATGCAAATTGATGGAGGTGTCATGTCTCTTGTGGTTCCAAGAAACACTACAATTCCTACCAAGAAGGACAAGCGGTTCACTACCGCCGCGGATAACCAGTCTAGGATCTTGTTTCAAGTGTACGAGGGTGAGAGAACAAGAACAAGCGACAACCACTTGTTGGGCAAATTTGTGCTCTGGCATTCCTCCTTCCCCTAGAAAAGTTCCAGTTATCAACGTCTGCTTTGACATTGATGCCAATGCTATCTTGAATGTCTCGGCTGAGGACAAGAGCACTGGTCAAAAGAACAATATCACTATCACTAATGAAGAGAACAGGTTGTCCAAGAAAGAGATTAAGAAGATGCTTCAGGAAGCTGAGAAGTACAAGTCTGAAGATGAGGACTACAAGAAAAGGGCTGAGGCCAAGAATACTTTGGAGGATTGCGTGTATAGGATGAGGAACAATGTGAAGGATGAAAAGATCAGTTCTAATCTCTCACCGGAAGACAAGAAGAGAATTGAAGATGCTATTGACGAGATCATTCAATGGTTGGAAGGAAACCAGCTTGCAGAGGCAAATGAGTTTGAGGACAAGATGAAGGAGATTGAGAGCATCTGCCACCCCATCATTGCCAAGATGTACCAGGCTGGTGGCGGATGACCTGACATGGCTGGTGGCATGGCTGAAGATGGACCCTCGGCCGGTGGAAGTGTTGCAGGCCCTAAGATTGAGGAGGTTGATTAAGTAGTTAATATTTTTTAAGGAGATTATACTTAATATTTTTTGGTGTTTGATGTTTTGGAGATGAAGGAGATTGAGAGCATCTGCCACCCCATCATTGCCAAGATGTACCAGGCTGGTGGCGGATGACCTGACATGGCTGGTGGCATGGCTGAAGATGGACCCTCGGCCGGTGGAAGTGTTGCAGGCCCTAAGATTGAGGAGGTTGATTAAGTAGTTAATATTTTTTAAGGAGATTATACTTAATATTTTTTGGTGTTTGATGTTTTGGGTAGTGGTTGTTTTGAGGGATTTTACTGGTGGGAAGTCTATATTATTTTCTGGTTGATGAATCTACTTTAATGGAGACAAGTTTTTCTTTGATAATATTTTCTTTGTCCAATAACTTATTATATGGAAGGAGCTGCAAACAAGCAATGGTTTGTTCAGTTTGTAACCAATTAACAACAATATTGGCATTTTGGGGATGGTTCTGAAATTAAATTTAGTTGCCAAAGTCCTGAAATTAAATTTAGTTCCCAAAGTCCTTAGTTGTACCGACATCTTGAGTTTAAGCACAATAAACTAGGGCCCCACAGGAGTTTGCAATGGTGCCAGAAAAGGTTAGAAAGTCCCATAACTGCAAATTGTTGTTCAGTGGAAGACCATATAATTTTCGGTAATTTTAGCCGGTGCCGGTCCTCCCGGTTGGATTTTTCTAAGAACGTGGAGCCCTTACCGTCCTTTTGCCGCCTGTCATTCTCGGATTTGAGTCATTCTTTGTCGACTTGCATCAATGAGGACTTGGCACAGTCATTTGGACCGGACTTGTTCGAGCGATTTCTTGTTGGGTGAAGGTGGTTATGTTTTTTTTTTTTTGTGTAGTTTCAATTAAAAACCCATTTCTGATTTTTGTGACGGAGGATGATAGCGATAGTGGTGATAAAACAGTGAGATTGATTGTGGATACGGACCCATTGAACTGAGACTTGAAATCCATTTCATAAAACTCCCTTACTCTCTCTAGATTTA